ATTAAACAAATTTCCTCTCCGTTGGTAACGAAATGAAAAGTTGTCCCAGGTTGGAAATAAATAAATTTCTCGTAACGTTCTCTGTGAAAACCGATCGATGATCGTTGAATGTAAAATGTCATTTTATAGCAGAGAGTTATATCAATATCGTGAATTTTAATTCTTACTTTAGATGCATGATGAAATAGTTATACTTGGATTGCACATGCATTTATCAGTATCGGTTACATGATACTCCGTAGTTTACTTTCCTTGCCCGTTGCATTTCCATGTGCATATAATTTTATTATCGTGTTTGTTTTGGGATCTATAACATATCGTATTTATTTTCGTCTGATATCATCTGTCGTCAAAATAAATACTACTGATAGCCAGTTCCAGTGCTATTTTTGAAGATATAGAAATACAATTTATTTATGTCGGTGATAACGTTTCTGTTATCCAGAGGAACACGTGTTATCAAGAGAATTTTTTATCAAACGTACATGAAATAGTATCATAGAAAAAATCGAGAATTAAATCGGTGAATTAATACTTAAATTACCAAATAATTTTACGATTTAATAACGTAGTTTAACTATAGAAATTGAAACTCTAAAAAATCGTGCAAAAATCCTCTCGTGTCGTTTAATGATTAAAAATTTAAAAAAAAGGTATTTATTCGAAATGCATAAAATAGTAACAAAAATACTAAAATATATAAAAATATTTGTACTGATTAATCGCGAATTAAACGAAATAAATTTCCTTGTCTTAATTTTAAAATGAACGAAGAGTCAAAACTATAAAATGAAAAAGAATAGTAGTCATTCTGCCTACGTCAAAAGACTTATTTTTATCATCGCATGCATATTTGTGAGCACATTTTTTCCGATTAAATCTTGATCGAACGTAAGTATTTATTATTCAGAGCAGCGTTTAGAATATTAAATACCCGAAGCGATTTGCATTTTGAATGCAGAATAGCCTCGATAAAATGACCGCTATTCGCTCGTTGCACTGCCCATATTCGTTATTTTCGTCGGGTTTTAAACATTTTACATAAACAAATTATGTGATCGTAAGGAAAAACATCGCGTATCGATACGCTTTCATTCGCAAGATATTATCGAATTAAAATCCTTCACACCGACTCTTTTTATTACCAATGTTTCCTTTTTAAGATATAACATTTCCCTTTGCATGATATTTCCATTTCATGTACGCATCAATTACATTTAATAATTGGACTGCGAAACTGAAGTGTTCGTAGAAAATTTTAGAATGCAACGCGTTAAATGGAATTTTAAAATGGAATCTTAATGGACATATTATAAAAGAAAAAAAAAAAAGATAGATAAAAATTCAAAGTAGATATACAATTTTCTATAGAGATTCTTTGATTTTTAATCAAGCTCGTAAAAAATTTACATAAAAGCCCGCAGCCTAGAAAGTTGTTTCTAGTAAAGCATATAAATTTAAATATAAATATAAATTTAAATTGTATAGAAAATAAGTTATAAGTAGATTAATAAATTAATTAATAGAAAAGAAAATATAAATTTAAATTGTACAGAAAATAAGTTATTATAATTGTACAGAAAATAAGTAGATTAATAAATTAATTAGCAGAAAAGAAAAAGGAATCACAAAGAAAAGGTATGAGTGATCGTTGTATTTTCGAAATTTCGTGGACTTGAGTAGTTTTGTCTAATTTGAACTTTAGCTGAACTGCATCATCTGTTGGAACTTATATAATTTATTCGTTTGTGATAAATATATAAATCCCATGTGAATGCATAAAATTCAAATTCTTTGAAATTGTAACGTTTTCCTGGTAGCAGTACTTTCCTTCTCGCGTAACTTTCTTTCCCAATCGATGATGTGATCACTATCATCGTTGTACGATTCGTGCGAAATATTTAGTAATCAATAACGTCATGTAACAGGTGATAAAGATTAGCTTATCTAAAGCACTCAATTCCCTTTTGTTCAAATGAAAAACAGTTTCGATGAGTTCGTGTACTGCGACCTTCGGAGGATTCAAGGTCTCGGAGTTACGATTAACAAGAATCATTTTCAAATAGAATGGAATTACCGGAAGTGCAAACTCCGAGTGTATCCTGTAAATAATGTGCAAAAACAACCCGATGTAGATGTATCCGTGCAAATAAATCTTGTTTCTTTTGCTAAACAAACGACGGGCAAAAGTCGTTTTTGAAATGACATTGAAAGAAAAATGAAAATTAACAGCCAAGTGTGAGAAAGAAAAGAACGAAGGATAAAGAGAAAACTTCTTGTTGCGATTTCTAATTTCAGCGATTGGTTTGCAGGTGAATAATTATTCAACTGATTTTGCGTGTTAGAAAAAGAGCTTAATAGGAAATATGTTTATAATATTTAAAATAGTTGCGGACAAAAACGTCAGTTTAAAAGTAAGGCTATTTTTCTTGTTTACACCGGAGACAAAAAATGTTTCTACTGTAATGTTAGCAGTTGACACAGAAAAAAACAGAAGAGAATAAACATTGAAAAGGCAGTTTCTTGTTCTAAGAAGTTTTGTTTTTTAGCAACCTTGTTTGTACATCATATTTATTTAAGTGATTTTGCAGATCAGGAAAGAAGTGGAGTTTAATGGTGAATATTTTTATAATGTTTACAGTTGCTATTAATAGTTCTATAATTGCAAACGAAAACATGAGTTGATAATATCGTGGACTATAAATTTGGTCGTGTATCATGTTATAAAAATTTATAGTATTTGATTTTATTCTTCTTGATGAAGAATAATAAGACTAAATTAAATTAAAAATTGGAAACTTAAGTACAAGAAGTTTTTATGATTTCCAATGTCCGATGACTAATTAAGATTTAATATTATACTAGTAAAATAGTTTTCTAGTTGGAAATAAGGACACAAGTTCAAAATTACAGTTATTTTTTTCTTATCGATGAGAAAAAAAAAATTTTAAGTGCCTAGAAAGAAATTTAACTTTGATATCGTGGTGATATTAAATTTAACTTTGATATCGCCACAATATTGCAATTTTCACACCATTATGGTACGAAGATTATTGCAAGCTATCAATTTAAAAAAAACAATTTCCGAGAACATATCTGAGTAAAATTCCTTTGTTTACCTATAAAATTCTTATATTTTGATAATATTAATATCATAAGATTGTTATTTTTCCTAAAGACAAAAATTAGCGTGTATGTTTTAATTTGAAGAAACATGTTTTGTAAAATAAATATTCTCTAAGTCTAAATAATATAGTGATAATAATAATGAATGTAATGAACATACAAATAATGAGTACATACATACACTATAACTATGAATATAGTAATAACTATTAATATACATACGTACTTATTAATTACGTATATGAACAATTTGAGAAATACTTTATGTAGGTTTATGACACAGCGTCAAAAGAGAAATTTATTTTGCTCGAATAGAAGATTCATAGCGATAATAATAAAGAATCATATTCATGGTAATAGGAATCAACGTAAGTATTCCAATTAACTCGTTGAATGGGCTTTAAATAGGTATTGCTCCATTTTAAATGGTGCATGGTGATATCAGAAGACAGATTCATCTTTTTACGACAAATCCAGCGTAAAAGCAACTATGCATTTTATTAAAAGAAAGTTTAATATTTATTATATATACTTAAATGATGCTAATTTAAGCTAATTTAAGCAATAATGTAAAATTATTCGATGAGAATTAGCTTTTAACTTTACATTGATTATTGATAATATTAATTGCTTTGGTTATTGATAGTTAAGTAAAACATACATACTATTTATCACTGAAGAAATATCCAAAAAATGTACTTATCATTAATCCAATTTCTATTTACCTGTTCTACAAAATATATGTTGTTTATATCTTTCGATACGTTTTACGATTTTTCATAATTATTTAATGAAATCTACTAATAACATATGGAACAATGAAAGAAAATGTTCCAGAATTTATGCAAATAAAGTTCCTGTAGTCGTGTTAAAAATGGTCTAAAAAAAAGTGTAAAAGTGATTGCTGATGAAGTCTATAAGAAACAGCAAAACGTCAGTAAAAATATATTAAAATAGAAAAAGAAAGAGAGAGAGAGAGAACGACAGACAGTCAATGCAACAAAACTAGTCGTGAGCCACATCAGAGGATAACAGAGGCAAAAGAGGAGAGAAGAAGAAAAGAACATAACCTGTTACGGTTATTGAGCATCACTGATTCGCAGATAACTACAATTGAAGCATTCGAAAATAAGAATGTCAGTGTTCGATGAGATGAAACTATCAGAACTTTAAATAAAATTTTTACATGTTACATGTGTCTTTTTTAACGATTTCATGCAAATGACAATAACATAGCACGGCGAAACATCGACAACTACACAGGAGGCGATGGAAAAGCACTGGCCCAGAGTCACATGGTGATCAGCCAGTGCGAAACACGTATAAGTACATGTACTCGTAATATACATGTCGATGACACGACAAGTACAGTACAACTAATTGACGTTAGAAATGCGAGAAATTCTACCGAATGTCGCCGAACATATCCGAACGTTGTTCGTCGATACATCACAGTCACTGCAAACAAATAGCAAAAAAGAAAAAAAGATGCGCATGCATTCAGTAAAATGATCTCAATTATTTCCGAAAACGTTTCATTGATCGGTGATATCAATCACGTGAGCAATATTTCCGTGTTTGCTGACGCTGGCCAGTCGAAAGCCAGCCGTTCAATCACGGTAACAAATCGAACGCGAGTGTGAGCGCGATCAAATAAACACGCACGTACATAGGCACACGCATGCGCGGCGTTAAGTGGTTAACCTGTTACAACTTGACGCACGGAATTCTATGGAGTAGGTGATCGAAACGAATGATACTCTTGTTATGTCGTTCCGAATCGAATCCCAAAAGACAATGAGTTGACAAACTTTTTGAAAAGTAAAAAACAAAGCGAACGAAAGAAAGAAAAAAATCGATTGCGTGACACCAACCTGTCGCTCTTGTCGACGATTGTCAGCGTGGCGAGCTCCTGAAGCGGTGGTTCCGCGGAGATACCCTGCGCCCTTTGCTTCCTGGGCCTCGGTTTCGTCGGCGTCAAAGGTGACTTAAAGGGGAGCACGCTGAGAAACTTGTCGAGATGGCTCCGTAGCTCTTGTATCTCGGCGTCGCGGCGACAGAGGAGCGCCTCGAGTTCGGCGATCTTCTCGTCCTTGACGCGCAGCAATTCCTGTAGCTCGCGAAGGGTACCCATGGCTGTGATCGTGGTCGCTCCGGTGACGTTTGAAATGGCCCTCTGGCCGGCTGCCGCGACCACGGCCACAGCGCCGTGCGTCGGCAGATGGGAGGCGTCCTCCTCGTCGGCGAGCCGCTGCTGCGTCGACGAGAAGCACAAGGAGTCGAAGCACACGCGCATAGACACGCAGGCGTCGCCGATCGGCACTCTGCACTTGGTACCCTCGTCCATTCAACCCGCAAACGAAACTGCCGCGAAGAGGAGAGAATAAGAAGCCGCGACGAGGAGCACACGACCCGAACGGTGCGTCGTCGGCTCGCTCTACTCCACAATTCCGCGCTCTCCAATGCCGGAGGACCACAACTTCCACCGTCTCCCTTCACGAACTTCCACGATTACCGCTATCTCGCTCCTTCCCCTCCCTCCCACCATTTCTACGTTTTCTCTCTCTTTCTCGCACTTTACCCCCACTCTTCCACGATAGCTTTCCTCGTTACTCCGCAACCTCGTCTCATTGCATTCTGCTCTCTCACTCTGTAGCGTCGTCTCTTTCCAACGTCACGTCACCGTTCATCTTTTCCTCCAGCCTGCTTCCAGCCGGCTCCTCCTTCTCACTCTTTTCTTTTCGTTCTTCAAAGCATCTGTCTTACTCGCACATGTCTTTCTCGCGTCGTTATTTGTTATCTCTGTTGAATCTTCTAACTCTCCCTCTTATTTTTCCCCCTCGTTTCTTTTCAACGTGACATTTCTCTTTTCGGTGATACTGACGCTCGTCTTATCGTTGCTTGGTGTGTTATTCTGTTCCATTCTCTTCTAAAATGCAGAGCGATGCAGAGGAATCGGCGTCGGGTAACTCTTCTCACGTAACATCTCGCTTCGTTTTGTCTCTGTCTTACGCTTTACTGCAGTTCCTCGGTAGTAGTTTAAATTTGCTCCTGGATTGCGCCATGTGACCGGTGCGCCATCTATGTCGTTCTTCTCCGTCGAGAAGGTTGACGCGGCGACTTGCTTATCGGCCGCGCGTATTTTTAAGGAAAATTGCAGATAAATCGAATTCTTTTTCGCATTTACTTCCGTATCTCTGCTAATACACTTTTAAATGTACATATAGTATTTTCACTACTTTTATTAAAAGCTGTACCTTACTATACATTTAATATCACATTATATTTTTAAATTGTTTATATATTCTTTCTGGAGCATATTCTTCTCCTACATTATATCAACGTTAATTAATTAATAATATTGATTATCAAAACGTTTTGATACACTTTCGCGGAATTATTTTACACTTTTGCATTTTATTTTGCACATCATTGTAAGTTGTATATAATGTGGCTTTTTTATTTACTTTAGATAACAGCGACTACATTTTTACATTTGCACTTCTTGCGCATCACGCCACGCCGTGGCTGCATGGAATAACGTACGTGAGCCGTGAGTTTATCTACGTCGGTAATTCAGTGCAGCCTTCGTCAAGGTTAACAGCGGTTTTAGAGCCTGATAACGGAATGAATGAAGCCTTCAACAAGATATCAGGTTACTTAACACTTTTATTTTTATCTTGTTTTTAATTCTGCTTGATACATCGAACGTGTAGATCAGAAATACAATTACTCCTTGCGTTTAAGAGCAAATAAAAATGCACGAATCGAGGAAATACTATAATATGACTATATACTATATACTATACTATGTACTATACTATAATATGACTATATAGTTGTACAATTTTACTGCGAAAAACGTATTCATGACTGAAATGAAAAACATAAATTGCATATCATTTCTATATCATTTTTTATGGAATACAAAAAAAAGAAAATGAAAAACAATCGTGTAATTACTCACGTGGAGCAAATTTATAAAAAAAACACAAGAGTTGATCCCGCGGTTTATGTGCGTCAGATTTCTAGAGATGACGCCACGTAGACCGCTGACCTTATTACATTACACTACATTACAATTACAGCAGCTATTCCGATTGAAATAATTAAACTGACTGCGATCCTCTACTCAAGCCTCACTGCCGTGATATTTAAATAGCAAGAATGTACACCTCGTAAATCAGTTAATCAAACACAAATGTACTTGTAAAGTATGTAGAGACTCGGGAAATCGTAATTTCGTTTCATTCATCAAATGGAATTAAAAATCAATGTCCCATTCCTTATTCCTGAAATTTCTGTCGCAGTTTTTCTACTTTTAAATCGTGTCATTCGTGCTCCCCACTGATACGTAGTATCGCTGAATTTTTAAACGGATGATTAACCTCTTGCGCTGGAATGACGTGCCAGAATATTTGACCCGGAATTGCAATATATTTTCTCAGTTCTAAGTACATTGAAATATAACCTAGGCAAAACAAATAAAGTAAATTCATTACTTCTTAGTAACTTCTTGGTAACGAATTATCGTACACGGCTCGGTCACTCGTTATGGTCCGCGAAAGACCAGTTAACTGGCGCAAGAAGCGAAATTTACAATTGTCAAATGTTTGCCGCCCTGTTCGTGCATTTTAAAATTTATGTTACGGCAATAATCTGCCAGACGCTATCCGGATACGTGCAAGCACATGCATACGCAAAGGGTGTGAGAAAGAGGGAGAAAGGGGAAGGGAGAGACGATTAAATGCACGAAAATAAATTGCGAGACCGGCCTCGGGCGGCCGATCGGGCATTGTCTCTGGCGTCTCGATGACTAGTTACCGAGTTATCCCGAATCGAACGCCTGGAGGGAGAGTCCGGGGCCCGGTAATAGCCAGGCTGCTGCTCGGGGAACCGTAATGTCATAATAGAATAGCGATGTTAGTAATAGCATCGCGTTGCACCGGCGTAGGCAACCGGCCGATTGACTGGTTCGCGCAGAGAGAGGCCCAATTTGCATCGCATTGCGTGTATTCGTTACGCCTTCGTCCGCGCGTTTCCTGCGTCTACGTGCTTGTGCGCCCGGTTGCACGCGGGCGGTAGTATAGCAGGCTGCGGCGTCGCGCGCATCGGCCATCCCGACGGCTAAACCGCCGCCGTTCCGGCAATCAGCGCCCTGGGAGAACCGTGGAAACCGCGGAAACCCCTAATTCAATTATCGTTTCTGGCATCGTTATCGTTATTAGTCGCTCCATCGGCAGGCTAACGGGCAAACCAACTTCTTGCGGCTTGATTGTCTCTCTCCTTCTTCCACGTTCATTACTTTTTCCCTTCTACTTTTTTCTTTTTTCTTTTTTCTCTTTTTTTTTTTTTTTTAGATAAGATGGAGGCTTTTTTCTTTTTTCAAATTCGCGAAGTAGTCAAGTCAGAATGATGAAATTCAATTTTCTTGCAATTTATTACGCCGTGTGAGATGCGAGGTATCGAAACAATTAATATACATTTGATTTTTGGATACTTGCTAATGTTTGAAATTCAAATTTAAATTCGACCATGGCTATTGCTGTTTCTTGCGAGTCGAAATTATAATTCGACGTTGTAAGATAGGAAATGAGAAACGTATAAAATTTTGGGAAAATTAGTTAGTTACACAACCTTTGCTTTCTTACAATTAAATAATCGTGTATTTGCGTCAATAACTACTCTTCTATAGTTTGATTGTACTTTGCTTTGTCAAAGTTTCTGCACTGGAATAGAAAGTCTAAACTTTGAAAATGTGATTTCGTGAAGTTCTAAGGACACTCTCCAATTACATGTACATCTATATATTGACCACTGTACATAAGTGTCTGAACACTTAGTGAAATATAATCAAAGCATTCGTATTTCTAAAGTTCTTTTTTATAGTTAATTCTTTAATTTTACTGAAGCTCCACATTTATCCGTAACGAACAGCTGACACTTTGTAAAATCTATACGAACGTGATTAAAAATACACTTCTCAGTTGTTCCATGAACATTAAACATTTAATATTAAGTGTTATTAATATTGTAATATCAATATTATAATATGTTTAACTAATGTGTCTGTAATACATTAAAGAGCCGAGTAATTATATTTCACATACATATTATTGTCATCGTTGCAGTCAGTTCATTGATCGTCCAGACATCCAAATGCCAATAAGCCAGTGTAAAAATGTAGAAGCAACGTTCTTGCCAACCAACCCCGTGAAGGAACGACTGCTTTGATCTCCCTCTTGCCTTCATTGCTGCATTTCACCCCCTCCCCCGCCCTCTTTCCTCCTCGACACCCTCCTGGTCCCCTCGATCCGTCCGCGCCCCTCAAAATATCAACTAAACGATAACCGTATTTATTATTCATTCGGTCGGCTCGTTCGCTGCTCCTCTCGCGGCTCCAATTTTGCAGAGTAGTTTTTCAAAGAATTCCGCGAGCGTGCCGGCGCATCGCGAGCAGGATACACGACGGTAAGATGGAATCGAGAGAGGATGAGATATCTCGCGTACAGGAGGCACACAGGTAAAAAAACCAGGCCAGCTAGATTTGTGCAAGTTTCGCCCAGTTTTCAAATCAAGCATAACGCGAACGCGACGAAATTTTTAGTTTTTCTGAATGGCTCATTTTTTTTATTTTTTTCTTTTATTTTCCTTTTACTCTATCCACGTGTACATAGATTTAGTTTAGATTTTAATTACTGCGGACTTTATGTCTTCGAGAAGAAATAAGATCTTGATAGAAAATCGTTGAAGCACTGTACATTGAATATCTTATGTATTTCTTTATACCACGTGCATTTTAAGAATTCCTACAAATGCACGAAAATTTAATTGCAGAAATGCACGATCGAGTTCAATCAATCATTTGTTAAATTAAATATGTATAAAACTTAATTCAATGCAAATGTTTATCAACACTTTCTCAACAAGATGTTTCAGGCTGGAATTTTATTCGAATTTACTACTGTAAATATAACATGTTTTGATGAATCTAAAATAACGAAAGACTTGTACTTTGACAAGAAATTTGATATAACTAATAATTATATATTGATATAATGCATTTCCTACTAAAATGATATAATCTCGAACGCATTGATGAATATTACTTAGCCATAATAATTCATAACAGATGAATTATATTCGAAAATATATTACTTTTATGTTTCTAATATTAATGCAACGTTAATTAGCGATGAACTTGCACACAACTGACGAGAAAATATTTCAAATTATATGAAATTATATTATTAAAGTATGTAGAAATAAAATAAAATCTAATCCTTTTCAAAAAAATATTATATTAAAGATAGTATTCAATTGGAGGAAATACTAATTTTTCAGGAAGAAAGAAAAATTTGACTTGTCTCTATTGCCAAATACAATTGAAAATAGAAACAACTCGAATTTTTTACTTCTTGCATTAACACTGTCCAGGTTCACGAAGAGGAAAATTGTATTTGTAGAAAATATGAGTCACCATCTTGTTGCAGAAACAGTTTCTACCATTTAT